ATTTTGCCCCCAAAACAGTCGATGCCTCCCCCGTCACACGCATCGTTTCAACCAGACAGCCATTTGTAATCCATAGGGGGGGGCAGAAAGTGTTTGGAAACCACTGGTGTAAACGTTGAGTTGTGGGCGTGGCCAGCAGCAGCTTGATTGGACTTAAAGAGACAGCTCAGACTGAAACCTCTTGGTCTGCAAATGATTTTCAGCAAAAACCTCGTAACCTGTTCAGGAAGCGTGATGCTGTAAATGTCGCTCAGACTCGAATCTTTAACATTTACATTTTTGTTCTGGTTGAAACCAGAAGCAGGTCGGAACTAGATGTTGATCCAGATGTTTTCTCCTCCAGGGAGAAAGAGCTGGAGGCCAAATGCATCATCAGGATGGAGGGAAGCAAGACCAGCATCACCAACCTGAAGGTTAGCTGGGTCCTGGTTCTGGTTCTGGTCCGAACCGGTGCCAGTTAGAACCAGAGCCTTGGTGTTTCTGCCCCTCAGGTCCCAGAGGGCGTGGTCGGCGACTCGATGAGGGAACGGATCAGAACCTTCACCTACGACTTCTCCTATGACTCGACAGACGGACGGAGCCGGGCCTTCGTCTCTCAGGAAACGGTGAGGCCGGCGGCGCGGAGCGGCGGCCGTGTTGCAGCGGGGCTTCTGTGACCTTTGACCTCTGACCTCCGCAGGTGTTCAGGGACCTGGGCTCCGACGTGCTGAAGGCGGCCTTCGAGGGATACAACGCCTGCGTGTTCGCCTACGGACAGACCGGATCCGGGAAGTCCTACACCATGATGGGCGTCCCAGTAAGAACTCACACTGGATCCCAGTAACGGCTGGACAGCTGGTCGCCGTGGAGACGGCTGATTGATCTGCAGCTGATTGATCCGTTTGTTTGGATGTCCGGCTGAGTTTGGTCTGGATAAGAGCAGAGAGGGAAAGTGTGGCCAGAGGAAACCAGCAGCTGCTTGTGGTCAGACTGGTTGGCTCAGTGGGAGAAGTTCAGTGATCAGCTCCACCACTGAGGAAAAGCTCAGGGTTTTTCTTCTTTATGAGGAAGTTTGAGGGAATTTAATGGGAGGAAAAACAATTCTGGTAAAAATTTATAAACAAAAACAAACAAATGACATCTTGGAGTAATGGCCTAGTCCAAGTCAGCTTTTCACAGCGCTGGGTTTTGGTTGGATGCTCCGTTTATCAATGTGTGGGTTGATTTCTCTGAGAGAACTGAGGCATGACCTTTGACCCTCAGTTTCTGGCTGAGAGTCCCAGCAGGGTTTGGTCAGAGACTCGAGAATTTTCAGCTGCGTTCACAAAGTCATTTCAAAATAAATGTAGTCCGACAGAGCGCCGCGGCGGCCATCTTTACCGCTGTAACATGAGCGCCGCGGCGGCCATCTTGGCTGTGTGCGGCGCTGCCGTGTCTCCTGATGGGATGATCTGGCCGGTTGGTCTGTTTGCTCTGGTGATTGAATCGGCGTTGGGTCTCTGATCTGCAGGCAAACAGAATAATCTGCTGACCAGAGGAGTCGCTCAGTCTGGCTCCGATTGGCTCAACCAGGAGCCGCTTCTTCTTCTGCTGCTGAATGAACGCGGTTTGACCTGAATGAACTGAACGCTTCAGTTCATTCATTTGGACATGAACATTTTATTCTTTAAATCGGAACTTGACGACCCGCCATTAAAAATACCCACAATTATTAGACTTTATTTAAAATTAAGCATAGAGTGAAATCATTTTCATAAAATATTTAAATTTATTTGGTATAAAGAGCGTGGCAGGAAACGCTGCCCCCTGCAGGTGAGAGGCAGTGTTACTGGAACTCAAAGTTCTGACCATTTTAGTGGAAAATTTCCAGTAAAGTCAGAATGAGGCATCAGCGTTTCCATGGTAACGGGCCGTTTTCCGTCAGGGCGACGCCGGTCTGATCCCCAGGATCTGTGAGGGGCTGTTCAGTCGGATCGCTGACGCGTCGCGGCGAGACGAAGCTTCGTTCCGCACCGAGGTCAGGTGAGTCCCCCGCCTGCACCTCCAGGTGGTGCTGCGGCTCCGGGGTCAGCTCTGAGCACAGCTGAGGAAGAGTGGTGCTGTGGGCTGCCAGAGAAGGCAGGAGTTGTCATGGCGACAGCACTTTCTCTCTATCTGGTTATTTTTGCCTCATTTCCTGGAGACAAACTGAACCAGAACCCAAACGGGTCGAATACCAGAACCCCCTGTCGACCTGTCGTCCCTCCAGCTACCTGGAGATCTACAACGAGCGAGTCAGAGACCTGCTGAGGAGGAAGTCCAGCCACACCTACAACCTGCGGGTCCGAGAGCATCCCAAGGACGGGCCGTACGTGGAAGGTAGCGGCGCCGGCGGCTCCTGACTGATTCAGCGCCGCTTCATGCGGTTTAACCTGCGTTTCCTAAATTCACAGCATGTTTTACGTCTTTCTGGTTTCTATTGGCAATGAATCTTTTACATGTTTTCAGTGTTTTTGGTTTCCTTGTGTGACTTTAATGTTTCCCGTTTTTAACGCGTTTGGTGCGTTTTAAAGTTTCGGTTCCCAGCGTTTTCAGTTTTTCTGATCGGTGTGGTGGGTTTGTGTTGCGGCGCAGACCTGTCCAAACACCTGGTGCAGAACTACAGCGACGTGGAGGAGCTGATGGAGGCGGGGAACATCAACCGCACCACCGCCAGCACCGGCATGAACGACGTCAGCAGCCGCTCCCACGCCATCTTCACCATCAATTTCACGCAGGTCGGTGGCGTCGGCCAATCCCACGGCCTCGTGTCGGCAGGCCGAAGTGACCGCCGCGTCTGATTTCAGGCCAAGTTTGACGCAGAGATGCCGAGCGAGACGGTGAGTAAGATCCACCTGGTGGACCTGGCCGGCAGCGAGCGCGCCGACGCCACCGGCGCCTCCGGCGTCCGGCTGAAGGAGGGCGGGAACATCAACAAGTCGCTGGTCACGCTGGGAAACGTCATCTCTGCTCTGGGTCAGGACCGCCGTGTGATTGCGCCGCTGCGGCTGGCGCTCCGGTTCTGACCCGCTGTCTGTTTCCGTCCAGCTGACATGGCGCCGGACGGCGGGAACGCCAACCAGAAGAAGAAGACGGTGTTCGTCCCCTACAGAGACTCGGTGCTGACCTGGCTGCTGAAGGACAGCCTGGGTGGGAACGCCAAGACCATCATGATCGCAAGTGAGCGCCGCCGCCGCCGCCTGACCAGACTGAGGTAAGCAGCTCTTCAGAATAAAAGCCCTAACTCTTTAGTCTTCGCAGCCATCTCCCCCGCCGACGTGAACTACGGCGAGACGCTCAGCACTCTGCGCTACGCCAACCGAGCCAAGAACATCATCAACAAACCCACCGTCAACGAGGACTCCAACGTCCGACTGATCAGGGAGCTGCGGGCGGAGATCGCCCGGCTCAAGGCGCTGCTGCTGCAGGGGAACCAGGTGAGCGCTCAGGGCGCCGCACCGCATTTAGTACCAGAAACATCAAATTAGAACGACTCTGCTTTAGACGCCTCACTGGCTGGATTTACGGATCAGGTTGGCTAAATACCAACATAGCTAGCGGGCCGAGCGCTGAGCCCTGAGGAGCTCCGGAAACCGGAGTCGGCGTCATGACGGCTCAGCTGACGGCGCGTTTTCCTGATTCGGCCCCATGTCACCTTGTTGATCGTTGGCATTTTGCTAAATCTGGTATCTTTATGACAACGTTGGACGTTCATTGATATAATAAAAATAAAATAACAATAATCCCATCAGTCAGTTCTTCGTGAAGCAGCAGAGCTCGGCTTTTAAAACGATTTCAGTGGCCCGATAACCGGTCCTGGTAATGGCAGCATCATGGTTTCCTGAAACGGTTTTCCCTCCCTCTGCTTCAGATCGCTCTGCTGGACTCGCCCACGGCTCTGAGCATGGAGGAGAAGCTGCACCAGAACGAGGCCCGGGTCGGTCCACATCGGCGCTCGGACAAGATGGAGGACCGAAACGTTCTGAAAGCCTCCGACGGCTCACTCTGCTGTTCTGGTCCGCAGGTTCTGGAGCTGACCAAGGAGTGGACCAACAAATGGAACGAGACGCAGAACATCCTGAAGGTAAGAGGGTTCTGTCCAGCCGGTCCGGTGCCGTCCGGTCCGGTCCAGACTGGTCCGGTCCAGCCAGACTCCTGACTCCTGCTCTCTGCGCTGCAGGAGGAGACGCTGGCTCTGAGGAAGGAGGGCATCGGCGTGGTTCTGGACTCGGAGCTGCCTCACCTCATCGGCATCGACGACGACCTGCTCAGCACCGGCATCATCCTCTACCACCTGAAGGTGGCGCCGTCGGGTCAGACTGTAGTCGGGCCACGAGGCGTTCAGGTTGCTCAGGAAAGGTGTGTTTTGTGTCTCAGGAGGGACGGACGTACGTGGGCCGGGAGGACGCGTCCAGCGAACAGGACATCAGTGAGTCCTGTCCGTCTGATGAAGACCTCTGCTGGTCCTGGTTCTGGACTCACGTTCTGCTCTGCTCTTGCAGTTCTGCACGGCCTGGACCTGGAGAGCGAGCACTGTGTGTTTGAGAACCAGAACGGGACGGTTACCCTGGTGCCGCTCGGTGGGGCTCGGTGTTCGGTCAACGGGGTTCTGGTGGCGGCGCCGGTGCAGCTCAACCAGGGTGAGGATCCAAAAAAACCCGAGTATTTCACGGCCCGGTGTAACTAGAGAGGTTCTGGTACGGTTCTGGTCAGCAGTGGACACCGCTAACTAAAAGTTAGCTTCACTAAATCTGAACAGCTAATCATGGTTCCACTGAAGCTGCATACCAACTTGATAATTAGCAGGAGCTAATGCTAAAGCGTTATACCAACATGATAATTAGCAGGAGCTAATGCTAAAGCGCTATACCAACATGATAATTAGCAGGAGCTAATGCTAAAGCATTATTCCAACATGATAATTAGCAGGAGCTAATGCTAAAGCATTATT